AAGGTGGGTTAGAGGTGCCACGCCCACTTACCTTTCGCCCACCACCCCTTTAACGAACGGCCATAAAGGAAAGCCAACCCAAAACTAGCAACTTCCCCTCAGAAAGGAATGTCAATTTGCGCTCTCAATTTCCCCTTTCTTAGAAGTTTTTTGGGTAAAAGAACACCAAAACGTGATAGTTAGTACAAACTGGTACAAACTATCGCGTACAAGAACGCTACTAATGTGGTCAGTAGTTTTTTGCAGGGATTACATCATAAATTGGACAAAAATAATCGATTAATTTAATCGAGTGATAAATCGCTGCCATTTCTAGCTATAGTAACTTCTACAGACAACCGAATTATTAGTTTTATTAGCATTAAAAGGTAATTCTCACTAGGAATATAACCAAAGCAAACAAGATGTACAAACCAACTGACCATGGGCTTCCTGAAGACTTTCGTCTTACTAACTTTTCTACTCTACGCGGATGAGGATGCAAGTTACCTGAAGAGGCCCTGACCAAGTACCTCCAGGAGACAGAAATCTTGCACAAAGTAGCTCATGACGAAAACAAAAAAGATAAAGATGGGTTTATTGGTTCTGGAATGGACTGCGCTGTGATTCCGCTATCTCGACACAAAAATTATTTTCTCGTACAAACTGTTGACTTCTTTTATCCTCTAGTGAATGATCCGAAAATTATGGGTAAGATAGCTTTGGCAAACGTGGTAAGCGATATTTACGCTGTAGGCGTTACAACTTTCGACAAGTTAAATATGCTTGTAAGCGTATCAACTGAATTTTCCGAAATGGAACGTGACGTTATAATACCACAGATAGTTGAGGGTTTTCACGAGTCTGCTAAAGAGGCTGGGTGTCGAGTTCATGTTCAGAGTATATCGTTAAACCCTTGGTGCATAATTGGAGGCATTGCGAGCTCGGTATGCACTGAACCAGAGATTATAATGCCTTCAAATGCCAAGGAGGGCGACGCCATTGTCCTTACAAAGCCCCTAGGCACCCAACTGGCGACGAATGCGTATCTCTGGATGGAGGAACAAAATGAAAAATATAAACGAATATCGGCGTGTTTAAGTGATGATGCCATATCAAAAACCTCTAAGATAGCAGTTGAGTCTATGACGTTCCTAAACAAAACGGCTGCCGAACTTATGCACAAGTATGGAGCACATGCTGCTACAGACGTGACTGGGTTTGGCTTGCTTGGACATGCAAAGAATCTCGCACAGTTTCAGAAAAATAAAGTAATGTTTGAATTGAATACATTGCCGATTATTGCAAACGTACTGACTATCGCAGAAATACTTGGGCAAGATCGAAAGCTAAGAAGTGGCAAAGCCGTTGAAACATCTGGTGGCCTTTTAATATGTTTATCAGTGGATAAAGCTAAAGCTTTCTGCGAAGACTTCAGTGCACTAACCAAAAACAGACAGAAAGCTTGGATTGTGGGTAGAGTGAAAAAGTCGGAAAGTCGTGACGCTTGTCTAGTAGATAATGTAACATTTTTAGAAGTAAACCAATAATGTAAATGAGAAACTTTCGTTTTTATGTAATCAAATATTACGTATACCTTACTTTAATATACATATAGCACATTTTCTGCAAGAGTCTCATAATCCTAAAAATCAAAAAATTAATACATCCCAATAAACATTTAGGTTTGAGCTCGACTTGAGGTTAAGTTGAGAATTAAGGTAATTCTCAAATCTCCAACGTTGTTTCTCAACAGTACCTCAAGTGGAGGATCAAGTTGAGAATGTAATTCTCCAATTGGTCTTAAACATATCATTAAAATACTGAAATTGAAATAGTAAAATACCTTCTACCTTTTTGAGTGAAACGACATATGTACCTAGATGAATTTAAATATTAATTTTTCTTTTTATTACTCCTTTCGTATTATGTAGTTCATCAATATCGTATTACAATAATTCACTTCAGTANGTTACTTTAATATACATATAGCACATTTGCTGCAAGAGTCTCATAATCCTAAAAATCAAAAAATGAATACATCCCAATAAACATTTAGGTTTGAGCTCGACTTGAGGTTAAGTTGAGAATTAAGGTAATTCTCAAATCTCCAACGTTGTTTCTCAACAGTACCTCAAGTGGAGGATCAAGTTGAGAATGTAATTCTCCAATTGGTCTTAAACATATCATTAAAATACTGAAATTGAAATAGTAAAATACCTTCTACCTTTTTGAGTGAAACGACATATGTACCTAGATGAATTTAAATATTAATTTTTCTTTTTATTACTCCTTTCGTATTATGTAGTTCATCAATATCGTATTACAATAATTCACTTCAGTATACAGTCCGACCGTAATTTTGCTACTTGATTCACTTCGCGTTTTATTTTCTTTCCAGATTATTTGAGGATACTTTGAAGATTATTTACTTTTTGTTGGTAATTTTCCTCTATATATAGCTTTCGTTTTTCACTTGATAATTAAAAATTTGTTTATCACTTTTTACGATCTGCGCGTCGGTTAGAGATAAGTTGGAGAACGATGTTGGATATCAACTTGAGAACTATGAATTTCTCCAAGGTTGAAGAAATATTTTTTTGGTGTTTATTGGGATATTTTGTTCAAGAGAGCTACTGCTAATCGGTTTCCGCAGTTATGCAATTTTTACACAACATAGAATAATAGGTAGCGGTAATTTCTGCATACTTGACTTTTTTTGCATTATGACACTCGTGCAGAAAATTTGCCATATTTTATACATATCGATGGTTCTCTGCAATGACATAATTCAAAATTCAAAAAATAAAACCCCCTACTACTGTTAAGCGGCTTTTTCAATTTTGAAGTGTGTCGGTATTGAAGAGAACCACCGATGTGTACATACCATAGAAAATTTCTTAACTATTTTTTCTCCAACTACGTAATTAGTTTGTTACAGCCTTTATTAAAAGACAGTGTTGGAGGTAATTCTCATTTGAAAAATCCTAGACTTTTTTGTAATTACTATCTATGTAAACGAACCAATATGTTATGTATCGCCTTTCTATTTACACGAGGACCAATTTATTAAGGAAACGATGTGTTGGTTTGTACATATCTTGTAAAATTTTTATATATGACTGACTAGCATCTGATAGTTAATAATTCAATTGATGACGAGATTTTCATAAAGATTTTGTATCATGAAAATCTCTGATGTAATGTTGATTTTTACTTTATATGCTGTTATGCAAATATGAGCAGCTTTGTAAGCTAGTATGAAATGCAAACAAGTACTAATCTACGATATTCAATGGATGACGAGATTTTCGGAAAGATATTAGTATCATGGAAATTTCTGATATATTTTTGATATCAGCTTTAGTATACGTACGTATTCCTCAATTAATAAAAACTAAAATGTACACATGTATAATTGACACAAAACTAAAGACTTTTACTTATAAATAATAAACATCGGATTTGTAGATTCATTAGAACATNACTGAGTTTTTCACAAATTTTGGTAGATTGTATTAAAATACACCTTCAATAAAAATTGTGACGTGTTAGTACTAAAACAACGAAGTTACATACCACTTTTTAAAAAGCCCTACCCGTTTTTGATACTAATTTTATAATGTGTT